AATCAAAATATACACAGATAGTGCAGCAGCTATAGCAAGTATATGTAGTAATACACAACATATAACAACAAAAAAAAAGAATGAAAAGAAAAATTATAACTTAGTAGTAAATATAGAAGATATGATACGAGCAAAGGAATTAGATTTAGAGTTAGTAAAGGTAAAGGGACATAGTGATAATAGATGGAATAGTAGAACAGATAGCATAGCAAAAAAAGAAGCAAATATACAAGATAGAAATGAAATTATAGAAGAACCAGTCTTAAGATCGAACGTACCACTTTTTTGAAAAGACAAAGTAGTAGAAAACCCAACACGAGACTTTGTTAAAGAAGTTCTTAATATCAGAAACAATACAGATTAGAGCTGTTCATCAGCGGTTAAAAAACTAGAACCAGATAGAAAAAAGAATGAACATTGCTGGGTACTATTATGGAAAAAGATTAAGAAGCAGAGTAGAACAAAATGCATCTCAATCGCAAGAAGTAAAAGACTAAGTACATTCTTTAAATGTATACAAGAAAAAATGCCTATCCTTAAAGAATTAGTATTAAGATGACCAGACCTGTATACAGATGTAAAATGTATAGTTTGCAAAGAAGGAAAAGAAGAAGACCAGGACTATTTAGCAACATGCTCCTTTTATAAAAACTATTGGATGAAGACAAAAACACTGGCAATAACAATTACATGAAGCACATTTTCAAAAGAGAAAAAAAAAAGTATTACTTAAACACATTTAAAAGAAGCAATATGGGACCAAACAAAAGAAAAAAGTGCCGAAGTAAGGAAAAAACTCATTAAAGATCTTTTACATGAAGAATTAGTAAAGAGGATACAGAATATTATGATCTCAGTACAAGAAACAAGAAATTTCCTAATGAGTATAATAGATATCATATGGAATAAGTTCTATGAAAAAATTTGAAAAGAAAGATGCAATAAAGTATCTAAATAGGAAAAAAGCCAAGGAATCAGTACAAAAAAGAAAAGAAGTAAAAATAAAGCAGCAGAACAACAAAACAAAGTATCGCACAAGGTGTTATCAAGATCAAAAAATAGAAACTCAAAAAAAGTAAAAGATATAAAGAAAGAAAAGGAAACAGAAAACAAAAACATAGAAGACATATGGAGAAACACAGTTAGAAATTTAATTAATAATAACAAGAGGCCTTACTAGAACGGTCTCAAAGGCTAGCCTGAATAGCCCTCGAGTAGTAAGCATTAACTTACTCTAATGCGGCAGGTCACCTCTGAGTACTAATACAGTAACTGAGAAATGTCAAACCAAAAAATTAAACTAATATTTGTATAATCATGTATGCAATTCTCTTAATAAAGGATCTTGGCAAGGCTGCCAAAGAATTAAAAAAAAAAAAAAAAAAAAAATATACATGTAACTAGTTATACTCTCTAATGTAAAGATGACACCATTGAGACTTTGGCTACAAGTCTTTATATTCTATAATACTGAATAAAAAACTCTAAATTTCAAAAAAAACTTGTTTAACATAAAAAAAAATAATAAATTAAAAAATATTGTTGCTTTTAAATTAAATTTGTATATGAAGTATAGAAAGCCAATCAAATTACATGATCAAATGTAACATCAAATTATTGCTTTCGGTTATAACTCAAAAATTTCGCTTATGAAACCACTTTTGAGTGTTAATAAAAACAATTCCTTGCGAAATTTTGGTATAAACCATTTCTCATCTCTATCCTAAATTCACCCTTACCCTAATCTTTAACAATACACGGTTTTATCAATTAATACCCGTGTACCATACATTGCGTGTACTTTTTTTTTTTTGGTGTTAAGGATTACGTGTACATTTAATAATTAAAATTATACTAAAACAGATATAATATGACATTTTTTAAAACTTGAATAGCTTTTTATCTACTATTTCGTTTTAGATAAAACAGCCATCAAAATGATCGTTTCATTGAGACGAACATTTTGACGGTTGTTTTATCCAAAACGGACCAGTAGATAAAAAGCTTAAAAAAATGTTAAATTACATCTGTTTTTAATATATCAATTTAATTAATTCATACGGAAAATATTCATACGTAAAATAAAATTTTTCCTATGATTACTAATATAAAATCCGAAAATTTTATCTTACGTATTGGTATTAAAACCAGTTTGTTTATTTTATTTATATCGTACAATTTTTAATTTTTTTAAAATTTTAATATTAACGTTAATATATAACGATAACGATAAATGTAAAATTAAATATTTATACGTATATATACAACAAAAAATTAATAATTTTTTTGTAGCCTGGGTACTAGCTAGTTTTAAGTCGAGGCCCTAATTTTCAGCTTCAATTACTTAATTTTACACATTATCACAAAAACTAGATAATTAACAGGTACGGGATGTTCTAAGTAAAAATGTTCTACGCCCTAAAAAAAAACCTTCTCAGACCTTAATTCTAGCCCTAAATACTAACCCTAACGTGAAAATTTTGCGTTAAAAATTTTATATTCAAAAAAGAAAATCTATACATCATAATAAAAAACATGGTAGGTGCCAAATCGCCATAAGAGCGTTTTATAATAAATGATTTAATTATACGTAGTATAACAAATAACTATTTTTAATTAAGGATAAAAAATATATACGTATACGTAGACCAATTTTGTTATTAACTTGAAGTTAGAACAAAATGTTCCATTCTAAACAATATAAAAACCTCGTGTCACAATAGACATAAAAGCAAACTAGACTTAAGCCAGTATTACATCATTATTTAATTCTTTTTTCCAACCTTACGCGGAAAATGAAATTCAAAAATTTTATATCTATATTAAAAATGGGACAGGCTTTAGCTTAATTAACATAATATCTTATGATAATCATCGCCAATCAATCAGATTTAATGTCCGGGGCCTTTGACAAGAATAAGTACATGTTAACTTTTGCCAAAAACGGTCGTATACATCATCTGTTTTTCCCTTAAAGTAGGAAGTTACAGTTCACATCTTTTTATTTGATGTCGTTCAATCTTGCAGAATTGAACTTTATCTATAGAAACATTAGAATTTAAGTATGTACTATATTATTGAAAGAAAACTAAATTACTGCATGGTATTTTCTAAAAATTTTGATTACCAATTTTTAGATCCAAGATGCCCCAACTCGCTGACAGTCCGTCTCCTACTTCTCCAACCTTTGACGGGAAGGTGACCAGACTTATAGTAGTTTCTAACCGTCTGCCGCTCACCATCACAAAAACGGATAATGGCTGTACCTTTAAATTGTCTTCTGGTGGCCTGGTGAGCGCGCTCAGTGGCCTGAAAAAAAGGATGGCATTTACCTGGATTGGATGGCCTGGTATGTCCTTTAATTTTTCTTAAATTTAGTTATTGTAAATATAAATCATCAATACATAATCTAATTTTTTAAATCATTTAATTATTTAGGCATCAACATACCAGAAGAAGAAAGAAGTCAAGTCATCGATCAATTAGCAAACTATTCTTGTGTTCCCGTTTATGTTGATGATGATTTGGCGGATCGGCATTATAATGGTTTTTCCAACTCTATATTATGGCCGTTGTTTCACTATCATCCTGGCGAAATCACTTTTTCCCAACAAGATTGGGAAGCATATGAAATTGTTAATGGTCTTTTCGCAGAAACCGTTAATGAGATTGTTCAAGATGGTGACTTGGTGTGGGTTCAAGATTACCACTTGATGCTACTACCAGCCATGCTGAGAGAAAAAATGGGTGAAAGCAAATTAAATGTAAAAATTGGATTTTTTTTACATACACCATTTCCAAGCAGCGAGATTTATCGGTAAAGTTGTGATTTTTCTTATCAATTATAATATAAGCCATCAAAATCTAATAATTTAATAATTTGGTTTATTTAAAATAGGATTCTTCCCGTTCGAAAAGAAGTCCTTAACGGCGTACTTAAATCCGATCTGATTGGATTCCATACTTACGATTATGCACGTCATTTCCTATCTTCATGCACTCGTATACTAGGCTTGTCGACAATGCCAAATAGTGTATACTATGACGGTAGACACGTACATGTTGGTACATTTCCAATCGGCATTGATCCTGAAAAATTTGCCGAAGTACGTTTGATTTCATTTAAACCTTATCTTATTACGTTTCCTACTTTTAACTAATTACATTCAATCAATAGGGTTTAAAAAATCCAGTTATTCAAAAGCGTATCAAATCCCTGGAAGAAAAGTTTAAAGGTGTTAAATTGATTGTTGGTGTAGATCGACTTGATTATATAAAAGGTGTTCCGCACAAGTTTCATTCTTTGGAAGTATTCTTAAGCGAACATCCGGAATGGGTCGGCAAGATTGTGCTTGTTCAAGTAGCTGTACCATCTCGACAGGATGTTGAAGAATATCAAAATTTGCGAGCTGCTGTCAACGAGTTAGTTGGTAGAATTAACGGCCAATTTGGTACTGTAGAATTTGTGCCAATTCACTTCTTGCACAAATCTGTTTCTTTTGAAGAATTAGTGGCATTATACGCAGTGTCAGATGTATGCTTAATTTCCTCGACAAGAGACGGTATGAATCTCGTGTCTTATGAATACGTTTCGTGTCAACAGGACAGACATGGTGTATTAATTCTCAGCGAGTTTGCTGGTGCTGCTCAGTCTATGAACGGTAAGTATCATTTATTATTATTCTCGTTTTGACGTGATAATTTACTTAATAGTAGGCATTATATATATTCATTTGAAGGTTCAATCATTGTAAATCCTTGGAACACTCAGGAGCTTGCTAGTGCTATTCACGAAGCTGTCACAATGCCGGATCATCTGCGCAAATCAAATCATCAAAAATTATATCGATATGTCACCAAATATACTGCTGCTAACTGGGGAACTAGTTTCGTTAGTGAATTAGTGGTAATTAGATGTCTTGGGTATAACATATAATTATGTATCATGTTTTTTATTTTGACTCATTCAAAGATATTTAAACTTATAGCGTGTTAGTAAGGAATTCAACTCCTACATGATCATTCCACATTTAAAGATCAATCAGGTTGTGGAAGCCGCAAAGTCCGCCAAAAAAAAAAGAGTCATCCTATTAGATTATGATGGTACATTGAATGCCACTCATAAATTGGCAGAATACGCGAATCCTTCAAGTCATATTGTCTCTATCCTCAAAACTCTTCAATCCAAACCTAACACGTATGTTTATATACTATCTGGTCGTGGTCGTATGCATCTTGACCAATGGTTTGAATCGACTGGAATTGGTTTGTCTTCTGAACATGGATGCTTCTACAAGCACCCAAAATGTTTACAAGGAAAAATAGAATCGAATTCAAATAGTTCAGCTGAAGGAAGATTTATTAAAGAAGAAGGTGATGGGTGGTACAGACTTGTGGAACCATTGGATTCTGCATGGAAAACGAACGTCTGTGTCTTGTTTCAGCATTATACGGAAAGAACTCCAGGTACTTTTATTGAGGAAAAGGAGATCAACGTAACTTGGCATTATCGCGGTGCAGATCTTGAGTTCGGTTCTTGGCAAGCTACAGAATTACAAGTCAATCTGGAGAAGCAATTGTGCCATATGCCATTATCAGTGAGTTCATCGCTATTACTATCAAAGCTTTTTGTTGTATCGGATTATTAATTCGATCATTCAATTTTATTTTAGATCATCTTAGGTAATAAAACTTTGGAAGTACGGCCTTTAGCTGTCGATAAGGCAACCGCAGTTCGAGCTATTATGAAAGATCTACAATTTACACAGGATGAAGTAGACTTTGTACTCTGTATTGGTGATGGACAGACTGATGAACCGGTATTTGCCTTATTGAAAGAAAATTTCAATGATTGCTTTACGAGTACTGTCGAAAAGAAACAAACAGATGCCAATTATTACCTTGAGAACATTTCGGAGGTCCAACAATTGTTAGAAACTTTGGCATCGGACTTGTAAGGAAAAGCAGCGGGTGCATTATATCGGTTACGGATGATGATAGTTGTAATTAATTATAATAGTGTGCTAAGAAATCAACTAATTTATTTAGAACCATTGCTAATTTGCCCCGGGGTGATGTCACCTAGATCCAATCAGATCGCTTGATCTTGTGTAACACAAGCAAAGCAAAGATTTGAAAAAATCTCTAACTTGGTTTTTTTATAAAAATTATGTTTCGACTTTTAAGCAAAAGTTTTTAGCATTAAATTTTACATATAGACTATTTTTTTATTTTAGCCTAAGGCTACTTTAACTTTTAATTTTAAGTTAATAAAATTTTATAATATTGATGATGTTATTGCAAGTAAAAATTAGTTATAAACTTTTAATAATGTGATTATTATTAAAATATTTTTATTTGCCTTATCATTAATATTAAAAAAAATATATATATTTTTATTTAAAATAAAGTATATGTAAATTATTTGTAATATAATTGCATAGTAAATTTGAATTTATATAGAGTAATTAATAAAAATTTTTTGAAATTGATAATTTTTTTTTGATATTAAGGTGATTTTTTTGGTCTTTTGATTTTTATTAATGATTTTTTGGTAATGTGGTTTAATGAACTATTACAGAAAAGTGTACAATTGATTACACATATAATTTTTTTATATTACTTATTTAAGAAATTTGTTCAAAGATTTCTTACCAATTGTTATATCTAACATTTTTGCTTAGATGTTCTACTTAAACTCTTTGAACCTATAATTTGTATTAATTTACTGAGTTATATTTAGATATTTAAATCATTATTTCAATCTTAGAATTAATTTATTTTCAAGGTAAACCTCTTAGAGCTTTTTGTATATATTTTTTAGTTGGTTTAAATATCACTATAGTAGAACCAACATTTGTAGTCAGAGTTTAACTATTAAACTACTATACTTTTGTAGAGTTTATTCAAACCTTAGTATTAATTTCATAATATAATCTCAATACTTTAGTATACTTTTGAATTTTACTAAATTTTCAATTCAGATTGCCTATATAGAACTATAATTAGTTCATTAATATATTAGATTAATCTAATAATCTTTTTTTTCAGTTTGTTCTAATAACCTGGTTGGTGATATTTCTAAAACTTCCAACCTGAAAATTCTTATTTGTTTAGTTACTAAAACCTAAATATTTATTTTTTTGAATTAATTTTTACAATAATACTGTTAAAGATCTAGTTATTTTTCTATTCAGTTTTCTTAAATGAATTTTATTTATTTTATTTTTTTTTTGTTAAACTAGTTTTTTTTGGAGCTGAGGCTTTTTATTCAGTATAGTCAGGATATAGGGACTTACAGCCAAGGCCTCAAAGGAGTTATCTTACATTAGAGAGTACAACTAGTTATATGTACACTTTTGGTGTCTAATTAAGTAGTCTGCCAATGGTTCTACACTAGCTGCCATACCTGCAGCCCAACTAGGAGTGTTGCCTATTTAAACCCTCTGTACTGCAACTCTTACTGTATTACTAGATTATCTTTGTTATGTAAGTCAGTCGAGAAGATCTAGATGCTTACCTGTATCCTTAGGACCCCATACCTTATTTTATACAGTGTATTCTCAAAAGCATCATTACTAGAGCCTTCTGTATCTTACATACAGCTAACCTAGTTTTATGTAACACGCTATAGTTACTTAACACTTGCAGTCAGGTCTAACCTTAAACTGCTACATTACATTATTTCTACCCTTGTAAAGTTCACCCAAACTCCGGTATCTATCTTTCTGACATCTTCTTTATCATCCCCTACTAGCTGCAACTCAAAACCATTGGTCTTAGTCCAGACTACCAATTCAGATAGCCCGGTATAGTATACCTTAGTATCCTTTTCTTCTGGCGAATTCAGTGACCTAGTTGGTCATATGCTTCTCTACACACCTTGATGTCCGGTTTTAATTTTCAGTTCTTATGAAGGTGTTTCATGGGCTTCTATCAGTCCGACAGCACTGTCGAAAGTTTGTGCTACCTTTTTACTTAGGAATTTCCAAGTAGGATTCTGTCTTCTTGGTTTCTTAGTCTTCTACGCCCGGTGGTCTTATCATGAGTTTGCACTGAAGTCTTATACAACACCGGTTATTAACATTCCTCTATGTACATGTACTGTGTAATGTTACACTTCGCATAGATGCCTCCAAGCTCCCAATGTCGGTAGGACCCCGACTTGATGTACCTGAGTTACAGCTGCATGAGGCCAACTGATCGACAGGAGACAGTTTTCATATTACAGATATAATTTCCAAATTTCGTCGTAGGTGGGATTTGAACCTTAGACCTGCCACTTGAAGGATGACAACCCAACCACTACACTAGAATCATCATTTTCTTAAATGAATTTTATACTATTCAATTTCAATAGATTTACATAGTCACAAGAACTTATCTAGTTAGTTTACATTTCTCTATATAACTTCAACATTATATTGATGCTTTATGATCTGTCAATTATACTAGTATAATTGCCATTATAGGTATTCTAATTTAATTATTAGTAACAGTTGCTATAATATAAATATTATATAAATGATTATTTAAATTTTCATTGTTAATGGAATTTGAACACTTAATTTATTACTTGAAGATTGATAACTTGATCACTTCACTAGGTCACTATATCCTAAAATTGATATTTATTTATTTTTTATTTTTTTATTTTTTTATTTTTTTCCTTAAGCAGTCATATTAGTGCTTTATTAAGATTTTGAAATCATATTTGCAATTATATAAATATTCTTAATTACTAAGCCTAGTATCATCTGGTTGTTTTAATAGTATTTAAGTACAACCTGCTGTATTACTTTAAGCAGAAATAAGCCACTTATCTAACTATTTAAAGTTTATAATAGAAGGGTTTTCTCCCTTTTATAACAAGCTCTAAAATTGTTTTCTGTACTTCTTTTCTGATTTGTTTTTCTTTTTTTTTCTTTTTTTCTTTTCTTTCTTCTATGACTTGTTGATTTAGTTTTTCTTTTTTACTTGGTACTTTTCTTTCTTTTCCTTTTCTTCTTTTTATCCTACCTGTTATTTTTTCATTTTTCTCTTATTCATTGATCTTCTTATATCAGATTCTTTATACTTGTTTGTAAAATATGTCTCAGACCATTCTTGCTATTACATTCATAAACTGCTGCCTTAATTTTGTACTTAAAAGCTGCCTTAATTTGTTCTGTATTTTTTTCAGAATGAGACCTTTAATTAGTATTTCTCTTATTTTAATTTTCTCTGTTTCTATTTTTCTGAAAAATGCTATATATAATATATATAAAGAAACTCAAACTTTTTCTTCTTCTTTTAACCCCTTTCAAACTATTGCGATGGTCACTTTTTGAATTCTTTTTCATAAATTTTTTTGTCTTTTATATGTTGCCAAATTTGTTTGTATTTTTTTTTTTTTATCTTAACATCTATTATTATATATACATCTGATCTTCTTTTGTTAAGTTCTTTTAGAGTTAGAAGTTTATTCATTATACATTTTATAAATGCACTTCTTCTAATACTACTATTTCTTGTTATGCAGTATACTCTTTTAGATATCTTCAGTCTATTCCAAAAATACATCTAATTATAGATCATTATTTCTGTTTCTGGTTCTAATTTTTTAATTGCTTTTGTTTTTTTCCATTTTGCTCCTAATCTTATATTTATTATTAATTTGCACAACAGTTTTGCTAGTATGTCAGTATATTTGTTTTTCTATTCTAGGCAATACTCTATTTCTTTACAACTGACTTTTTCAACCTGTATTATCTTTTTACTCATTGCACTTAGACTATTAACTTTATCATTTCATCTGTTTTTACTGTGATTTTTAACTTTAATAAACTTTATCTAAATGTTCTTTCTCATAATAAGCTCTCTAATTTTTATTATTCATATTGCATTTTTCTTTTTGAGAATCTTATTTCTGCATATTTATTTTAAATCTCTACTAATGTTTCTTATTAGCACATTGCTATTTGTATATATTTTTATTTGTTTTTCTCTTGATATTGTTAAAATTGCAGCCCATATTGTCATTAACTTTGCCATTGTCAATGTTTGTCATCCTTCTAGACTGAATGCTATCTCTTCTTTTGGTCATTCTTGTGTTTTATCTGTTTGCACCCATCCTATGCCTATACTATTTCTGTTTTCTGTATCTTTTTTAGTCTTCAGATTTGCTACTCCATCTGTATATATTATATACTTTCTTGTTTCTTATTATATTCCTTCTTAAGACTTCTACTATTTTTTGACTAATGCTGTCTTTTAGTTTTTGTCATCTGATTGTCTCTATTTTTGGCTCTTCTATTATTCTTAGTTACTTGAGTTTCTATTCTTCTATTCCTGATTTATTTGTCCTTATTATTTCTGTTATTTGATTTATTGCTTATTGCTGTTTTTTTTTATTAATATATCAAGAATTATATTGATTTTGTTATTTACTCTTATTCACTGCTGGCAGGTATTTTCTTGATGTTTTTTTCTTTTGTACAACCCTTATATCTGCTAATTTTGATAGCTAGTTCACTTTCTTTGTTCTGTATTTGCCAATATTCTACTAGTATTTTTTTATTTTTCTTTTTAATTATTTTTTCTAACTGTTGATTATTTTGTATATCATGTACTAACTATTCTTTCTTTCTTTTATTTTCTGAGATATACTCTTATCTCATCTGCATGACTTGAGTATTTTGTTTGATTATTCTAAATTGTCTTTTAACTTCTCTATTTTCTGGTCTGATAAGCACTTCTCATTCTATCATTTTGAACCATTCTGCTTTTTTTCCTCTATACAATAAATCTTGATAACTTTTTAGTTGCTGCTATGTAATTAATCTTTTTCCTTTTGTATCTATCAGTTGGCTTAAATATATTAAATCTGCTTTGTTTATTCTCATATTATTTCTTTTCTATAACTGCATATCTATAAATTCTTTTATTTTAATTTCATGTCCAAACATTATCTAT